CATTTTTGACAGCTTTATCTAATATTGCCCTCCTTAACTTCCTCCTTGATCGCACTCGGACAACCGATTACACTCTACAGAAACTACTCTAGGTGCGCTATTTTAGCGAAACACTTGCTGTTGCAGTGTTGAGTTCGTTGTGAGATATTAATGCTGTCACTATCTCAGATAAAATACCTCCTATGTCGCAGGTGTGTCCAGCTACCACAGTCCATATATTAATGTGTTCCAAAATTAAACATCTCCGTTTTCCGTCACCAAATTCCTACTTTTAGCTAGCATCTGACCCTCACGGAATCCACGCGTCAATCGTCTATGCGCAGAGCTAACTCTACCGTCCGCATGTAATATTGTGAGACCTGCTGTGTGCCTCCGTGTGCTACACTTGTGTGGTTGTGCAGGACCAAGCTGCTGCGTGGGACCCACCGACTACAGCTGCACCCACACCTCCTGCAGCTGCACCCTCACCACCTGCAGCTGCGCCCTCACCTCCTGCAGCTGCGCCCACACCACCTGCAGCTCCCCTCGCCGCCCTGGACCCACCCCCTGCCGAGGCGCTGCCCCCGCGGGAAATGAATGTGTTACTTATCAGCTGCAGTGGACCCACCTACTTGCAGCAGGAGAAGGCCGCCTTGTTGCGGGACGCGCCGGGGGTGAGTGTGCGCCGGACCTCGAGCCTCACGGCCCGTACGAGGCTGCGGGGAGCGGCCCGGTACACTGCAGACAGTGCCGCGCGTTATCGGCCGCCCTGAGAGTGACTCTGTTCTGCCGCAGGTGACCCGGCTGGTCCAGGTGTGGTGCCACACGGACCCCACCTGGAGCCTCCAGCTGCTGCAGCGCGCCGCGCCCACGATGGAGCAGCTGGTGGTGTGGTGCCCCCGCGAGGCCCACCTGCGCGCGGTGCACGCCATGCCGCGGCTGAGGAGGCTGTACGTGGATGGTGATGCTGCCCTGCTCGCCCAGCCCCCCGAGCTGCCCGCGCTGCCGCCGGGACACGCCGGCCTGCAGTGGCTCAGGGTGGATGGCCTCCCCCGCGCCACGACACAGTCCCTGCTGCGGGCGCACGGCGGCACGCTGGAGGAGCTGGTGCTGTGGGTGGGCACGGCGGGGAGTAGAGAGTGGCCAGACAGCTGCGGCGACCTGCACTCGCTGCTGCAGCAGAGCGGGCTGCGGGCGCTCAGGAGGCTCCTGCTGGTGAGGTGGTCCTACAGCCACGAGCTAGCCGCCTGCAGGGAGCAGCGCGCCCAGGTGCGTCGGGTGCTGCCCGGGGCCGAGGTGCTGTGCAGCAGGTGTTGAACGTTAAAAAAGTTATTCATAACAGTTTTGATATTATTTTTAATAACATTCGTGGTGTCATAACGTTGTTGTAACAAGTAACAAACCTGTTATGAAAATTCATAGAAGTTGTGAAATTTAAGAATCGTTGAGACTTTTCCTTAACATTTTATGACTTTTGATAGCTTGTTATGACTTTCTATAACATGTTGTGACTTTTCATAACTGTTAAATGTTCAAAAACTAGTAAAACACACGTTTTGATTTTACATTGTTGCTATAGTTCTTGAGTAAACCCGGGAAAGTGAAACACGGGAACAGAGGGGGAAATGTGGTTTAACCATACGTAGGTGGAGGACGGGTAAGACCCCGGGGGCAGACGACGAACCACACCGGCAGCCGTCGCTCCTCCTCCCACGGGCGCCCCGTAGGCGAATGGTTAAGCGGGCGGGTTCACAACCCGCAGGTCCAGGCGGAGTTCGGGTACACTGCGGTTACCAAAGAGGTCTGAGAACACTGGAGCGAAAGGGAAGTGAGGAAAAGACATGTGAAGTGATTTTTTTTTATTTTTTTTGGTCTTTTAAACGAGTTGACATTTTACAAGTCGTGTTATGAATTTCACAACTTGTGTTATTAATTTTCATGGCAAGTATGTTAGTAATTTTCATAACACTTATGTTCTTAAATTTACAAACAATGTTTGTGTTAATACTTCCAGTAAATGTTATTAAATTTAAGAGGAGGGACGGAGGGACGAGGGACAGGTCTCGGGGCGGCGAGCAGCAGGGCGGGCAGGGCCACCGGCCGGGGCGTGTTCAGGTTCAGACAGAGAATATTCCTCACTAATTCGTTCCCAAGTCATTCTCGCTGTTTTCTGGCAGAGACTACAGCGGTGCAGCTAGTCCGTGTCCCTAGCGACTTAACCGAGCGAGCGCTTCAGATGTGATGTAATGCATTTGGTATTTAGAATCACTAGCCGAGTTTACATCGAATTTACATCAAATACAAGTTTAATTCTCAATAGTATGTACAGTCAATATTTGGCCTACAAAAAATATATCTTTGTTTACAAAATAAAAAATACAACTAAACCTGTTGTACAGTAGTCATACGCGGGTTACATTTAAAACATGTTATTCCTAACCAAACAGGACCGCGATTTTGAAAATTGGTAATTCAACGTGTCTTATAAAAGAGCAAAAATCCTTGACCCCGCTTTTGTTTTTAATTTTAATTTTCTTTACCATAATAGTCGACATTTGCCAGAGACTAAAGTGGAACCACACGGTGTTGGTGGGCGGCCACGGGTTCATCACACTGCACTGCAGTCCACCAGCCAGGCACAGTGAGCGAGGCCGCCTGTGCTGGTCTTTCATTCGTCCAAGAAAGACATGTATTTAAAACATGTAAGGGTACGGCTACGCCTGCGACCCTTCCGGAGTGAGGTGACTCGATGCGGTGGCGGAGGAGAGCGATCAGGGCTCAGTGTCAGTCCCGCCGATCGGCGTTCAGTTAGCGTCGAGTTGGTGGGCGGGCGGCGGCGAGCGCCGGGCGGGTAGGCCGACCCGCGCAGCAGCGCTGTCTAGCGGGACGGCCCGCCCGGCGCATGCCAGCGAGCGTCACCCGCGCCACGCACTTTTTCTCTACCTCTGAGCTTCTGAGGCGTGAACACGAAGGTTATGAAGTAGGGACTCCAGGGCTCAGTGTCAATCCTACAGATCGGCGTTCCGTTAGCGTCGAGTTCGTGAGCGGGCGGCGGCGAGCGCCGGGCGGGTAGGCCGACCCGCGCAGCAGCGCCGTCGAGCGGGACGGCCCGCCCGGCGCCTGCCGGCCGAGTGCCATCCGGTTGTTGCCTGTAGTTAAGGTCCTGAGTGAGCCGTGAATACGAAGGCGATCATGTAGATGGCCACGAACAGGATGGGCATGTCGGCGACCTGGAACGGGCCCGGCGTGCCGATGTGCAGCAGCCACCCTGTCCACGGCCTCTGGGGCGGCCGCCATGGGGCCGGGCCCGGGAGGGGTTGACACCAGCATCGGCTCCGACCCACCGACCCGATAGGACAACCACCCAGCTGCGCGCCGGCCGCCAGCTGGCGACGCAGGTAGGCAATATCCGAGCAATACATGGCTTGACCACACATTTCTATCTCTCGAAATCCCAATTGCAAATCGTGATTTTTACGTGACGCCTCGTTGTGATTGATAACCATTTCGTGCGCGTCCAGCTCGTACGATAAATCGGGTGAGGGGCAGGGTATCGAAGGAATTTCCACCAGCGTGTCAGTAATGCTCCCGTCTTGTGAAATCAATAGTCCAATTCAGCGATCCATTGGTTAAAGAGGCTATTTCTCTTTCCTATTTTGGGTGCTCCGGCGGGATGGTCGCCAGTGGACATTGAAGCTGCTCCAAGTAAAAGGCTTAGTGGTAAGGACCATTGTATGGTTATTGAGGTATTTTATTGGTATAAAGAAAATCAGGAAGAAGCCAGACCATATTTTGTGGTGCCCCCTGTGCCAGCCATTAGATGGTTGCCATTGCTAAGCATTCCTCTGGGTGTCTATCGGCCCTGCTGAGCCCATGCGTCAGTTGGAGCGCGGAGTAGCGCCGCCG